TTATAACATCCAAATGAAAGTTTTAACACCAACATGTCAGAAAAAAATTCAAAAAATTGAAAAACAGAATCACTGAGTTGGAAAAACGATAACCCTCCTTGTGTCAGTATTTTGTTGAGCCACCTTTTGCTTTAACCCTTTACGCCTAAGGGTAAAAGAAATCTAAGTGCCTACGCACAAATTTGCAACTTTGACATGTGTTAGTAAAACCGTACATATCATCACAACTACTTTGTGCATCCAGGTGGATTATACCTTTTTTTTGCAGGACAAATTGGGCTTTTATTTGGTGGTGAATGGTAATGGATATTTCCTGATTTTTTTTTATTATCAAAATGAAAACTGGCCCAAAATAGTAATAAAAAAAATATATTTTTTAAATTTAGCTGTAAATTTCTTGCTACTACCATAACCTACCACCAAAGAACTACTCAAAATAAATTCTCCTTAATAGTGCGCAGTTTTCTTTTTTTTTATTCTGCGTAAAATACACTGACACTAATTTCAAAATGAAAACAAAATCCTGACAAAAAAGAAAAATACTGTGTAAAAAAAACTATAAAAAATCTGCGCTGGTTCAAACTATATAACAAGCTGCTAACACTAAATTCTGAAACAAGAATCTATCAAATATATATATATAAGTGTAGTGCTAAAAAAGAAAAATGTATGTGGTGGTGGTCTCTCTGCTAGAAAGGTACATAAATTAGTGGCCCCATGGAAAAAAGCCCAGTCCAGTGGGGCCGCATGTTTGCTTACGGTTGACATAAGGAGTTAATTACAGCCTTTAGTCTGTTGGGACATGTCTCTACTAACTTTGCACATCTACACTTTGGAATATTTGCCTTCTCTTCTTTGCAGATCTGCTCAGTTTAATTTGATGGTGACCATTTGTGGATTGCAGTCTTCAAGTAATTTCACAGATCTTCAATGAGCTTTAAAGTCTGAACCCCTACTAGGCCATGCAAGGACATTCACCTTTTTCTCCTTCAACCACTGTGTGGTCATTTTTGCTGTGTGCTTTGGGTCATTGTCATGTTGGAAGGTAATCCTTCTTCCCTTTGACAACTGAGGGCATCAGATTTTCCTCAAATGTTTGATGGTATTTTGCAGCATCTATTTTTCCTTATATCCTGACAAGTGCTCCAGTCCCTGCTGCAGAGAAACACCCCTATAACAGGATATTACCACCTCCATGCTTTACTGAAGGATTGGTGTTATTTGGATGGTGAACTGTATTGGATTTCTGGCAGACATATAATTTGGTGTTGAGGCCAAATAATTTTAGTCTCATCTGAACATAACACCTTTTTCCATGTGGCCTCAGAATCTTCAAGGTGCATTTTGGCAAAGCTCAGTGATGACTGCATGTGACCCTTCTTGAGAAGTGGATTTTTTCTTGCAACCCTCATAAAAAAGCAATATTTGTGGAGAATTTCTGATATTGTCGCATGCACACAATAACCACTCTTTGTCATACATTTCTGCAACTGCTTCAGAGTTGCTGTAGGACTCTTGGTAGCCTCTCTGAATGAGTTTCCTCATGGCTCTTTCATCCAGTTTGTAATGACATCCTGATCCAGGGAGGGTCTGTGTTGTACCAAATACTTTCCACTTCTTAATATTAGACTTCACTGTATTTCTAGGCATTGGTCAAGCCTTTGACATTTTTTTTGTATCCATCTCCTGATTTGTGCCTGTCCACAACTTCACCTCAAAGATTTTTGACAATTCCTTGCGACTCATAGTTGATTGTTTGCTTCAGTTGCACCCCCAGAGACTGAAATGCTCCAGGAAAGCTCTTTTCATGTTGAGTTAATCAAAATGACTGCAGCTAATCACAGTTGAAAGTCAAATGGCTTTGTGTGTTATTGAGAAGGTGATTAGCTACACCTGATTGAGTTTAAAAGTCATTTTTAGGAGGCGGTGATCCTTTTTCCAACAGTGATTCTTTTTTTGGAATTTTTAAAAAAAAATTCTGACATTTGGTGTTATTACTTTCACTTGGATGTTATAAGTTGTACTGAGATAGCTGGATAAAACCAAAACTGTGTCTGTCTTCATTTCAGGCTGCAAAGCAACAAAATGTGATTATTTTAAAGGGGGGTGATTCTTTTCTATACCCACTGTAGTTAGTTAGGATATTATTTGGGGTTTTTGCACTGTCACGTTTATTTGTCACTTGCATTATTTATGGTTTACTAGTATTGGTAGTGTGTAATTTGGTTTAATAAACTTATTTTAACCTTATCCAGCCTAGTTCCTGATTCTTTAAGGTACAGCCAACTCATCTGACCATCCTTGTGTAACGCTACCCTCTCAAGGGCTGCTGACTTTTTGGGTCCCCCTAAGCTTTGCACAGCCAGGCAAAAAGCATTTTCCACACTTTCATCCAAAGTCAGTAAAACAGTCCTCGGGCTTGTTTTTTTTTTTCCTTTGCTTTTTGTTTTGTTAGGGGTGAATGACTTGGATGGGGTCTAGGGGTATATGGGATGTCCAATGGAACTGTTCTTTGGAGGACAAATGTCTTAGCAAAAAGGACAAAATCAGCACACAGTCTTTGCAAAGAGCACTTGGTCCCCTTAGTGAACCTCCTCAGATCCCAGAAGAAACTCTCCTTTTCCACCTGGCTGTCTTGAGCGTGTCTCTGAGCAAGGGATTCCGAGATCTACAGATGAAGTAGTCCTAAGGAGAACTAGTTGAGTATTGCACCTGACCGCCCTCTCCCTTCTTTGGCCCAGGGGATGTAGAATTGCTCACACTGTCCTGTTCCTGTAGCTTAATGGGTTGCAGCTACTTTACGGCCTTTCTCTGGGCAAGCTCTTTCCCTGCTTACAAGCTGTCTTTTCTAAGTAGTCTGTGGGACAGTGGAGGTCCTTCTGTCAAGCTTCAGCATGCAGCCAGGCCCCCCTCCTCTGGGGCCCCCTCCCAGGCTCCACACCATCAGCACCTTCCCCACTCCATCTTCCACCCTACTCCAACTCCACCCTGCTGATCAGGCTCTCTCACATTTAAGGGTTGTCCTGGCCACCATGCCAGGCCTCCTGCCTGGGGATTAGCTAGGTTCCCTCAAATATGCAAATCTAGGCCTCCCATGCCCTTCTTCTAGAAGATGCCACAAGTTTCTAGAAGAGTGGGAAGGCTCCAGAAGCCCTGACGTGACCTGTAGAGCCTCCCAGCATAACCTGAAGTGACCTTGCTGACTCAAGCTGACCCATACCCAGGCTTTTAGCAAGCCTTTAACTAACCACAAAAAAACCCTACCTAAGCTAGAGGGTGCTACATCTGCTTGATGCCTGCATGTGGTATCCTTGACACAGAGACTGTGAATAGTACTTAGGCAGCACTGTTGTTATTGTTGTTGCCTTGCTACTTACATTACAGCTCTTTTAAAAAATTTTATTTTTATTTATTTATTACAGGTACTTATATAGCGTTGTCAATTTACGTAGCACTTTACACATATATTGTACATTCACATCAGTCCGTAACCCCCAAGGGGTGTACAATCTAATGTCCCTAACTTACATTCATACATACACATACTAGGGTCAATTTAGACAGGATCCAGTTAACCTGCCAGCATGTCTTTGGAGTGTGGGAGGAAACCGGAGTACCCAAAGGAAACCCACACAGGGACAGGGAGAACATGCAAACTCCAGGCAGGTGGTGCCATGGTTGGGATGTGAACCAACAAACCTAGTGCTGCCAGGCGAAAGTGCTAACCATTTAGCCACTGTGCTAAATGGTAACATTATTCCTCCTGTTTGGCCATTTTGCAGGCACCTGTGAAGAATGAACATTTATCATCTTGGTAATTGGTGTCTCATATCAAACTATGTTTGTTCTACAGTTTTTCTTCCTTACCTTATCCTAGGACTTTGCCTCTTACAATAAAGCCTGTATAAAATGTTCAGATGTGTCAGTGCTCTCAGATACAGGGGTGGGTTATCATTGGAAAGCAGACAGAGGTACCCAAACAATCATAACACAGACTAATATATATATATATATATATATATATATATATATATATATATCACCTTCTATGTCGCTAGGGGGGCTGGGTGTAAAAGCCAAGTGGGTCAAATTCAAGTCAGAGCTGAGAGGCTCTGAAGACCAGCTCTCTGGAATTCCCCCCTCCTTTATGACTTTGGACTTTGGATAAAGATCTGAAAGCAGTGGGAGGCGAGGAGTGGCTGGTCTGGAGGAGGATCCTGGTAAATCCCCAAAAGAAGGAATGGCAAGGGGCCAGGACAGCCTTTAAGAGTAACTGAGCCTGCTCAGCAGCAAGAGAGTTGCAGGAGAGTTCACGTGGAAGATGAGGATGTGAAGCTGGAGAAAAAAGGAGCCAGGCAGAGGGCCCAGATGGGAGAAGGGCTCACCTCACCTCACCTTCCCCAGCCCCCTGAGAGAGGACCACCTGTGTGGCAGGGAAGGAGCGGCCCAGATAGAAGGGCTGGTAGCAGCCACCAACCCACTGGCAACACAGAAGGACTAAGTGAGTAGACCTGCGCCCCCTGGACCAGATAGTGGAAGGAGCACTCTAGTGGGAAACCACATTAGCAACTACCCAGGACTGTCCTACTTTAAAGTGGCAGGAACTGCATCCAATGCTCATGGATATCTCCCAGAACAGCTGGATTAAATGAGTCTGGGGTCTGGGGTAGTACTACTGGAGATGCTGGCTAGCTCTCCAAAAGAGACTGCTGTAAAAAAAACTGGTTTCACAGTTCCATTGGGCATCCTGTATACCCCTTACCCTATCCAATTTCTAAATCCCCTAATAAAATCCAAAAAACAAATTTCAAGAACTGGTTATTGTCTCCTGGATGCAAGGTATTGGGAAAATGTGTGTTGCCTGGCTGAGTAAGACTATAGGGGGACCAAAAAACATTAGTGACTCCTAAGTGGGTAGTGCTATATATGTGTGTGTATACCCCTCAAAATCTTTGGATTCAGGTGTTTCAATCACCTCCATGGCCTCAAGAACCTAGGCTTGCAGACTGATTCTGCAAACATTTGTGAAAGAATGGGTCGCTCTCAGGAGCTCAATGAATTCAAGCGTGGTACTGTAATAGGTTGCCACCTGTGCAATAAGTCCATCCGTAAAATTTCCTTGCTACTAAATATTCCATGGTCAACTGTTAGTGGTATTATAACAAAGTGGAAGCAACTGGGAACAACTGCAACTCAATCACGAAGTGGTAGGCCACATAAAATGACAGAGCGGGGTCAGCGCACGCTGAAGCGCACAGTGTGCAGAAGTCGCCAACTGTCTGCAGAGTCAATAGCTAAAGACCTACAAACTGTGTGTGGCCTTAAGATTAGCACAACAACAGTGCGTAGGGAACTTTACGGAATTGGATTCTATGGCCGAGCAGCTGCATCCAAGCCTTACATCACCAAGTGCAAATGCAAAGCGTCAGATGCAGTGATGTAAAGCACACCACCACTGGACTCTAGAACAAATCATTCTGGCAATCAAATGGACGTGTCTGGGTCTGGTGGTTGCCAGGAGAACGGCATCTGCTGGACTGCATTGTGCCAAGTGTAAAGTTTGGTTGCTACTAAATATTCCATGATCAACTGTTAGTGGTATTATAACAAAGTGGAAGCAACTGGGAACAACAGCAACTCTGCTACAAAGTGGTAGGCCACATAAAGCGACAGAACGAGGCCAGCGCATGCTAAAGCGCACAGTGCGCAGATGTCGCCAACTGTCTGCAGAGTCAATAACTAAAGACCTCCAACCTTTGCGTGGCCTTCAGATTAGCACAAAAACAGTGCATAGAGAGCTTCATGGAATGGGTTTCCATGGCCGAGCAGCTGCATCCAAGCCTTATATCACCAAGTGCAATGCAAAGCGTCAGATGCACTGGATTCTAAAGCAGTGGAGAAGTGTTCTCTAGAGTGGCAATTCATGCTTCTCTGGCAATCCAATGGACATGTTTGGGCTTGGCGGTTTCCAGGAGAACGGTACTTACCTGACTGTGTTGTGCCAAGTGTAAAGTTTGGTGGAGGGGGGATTATGGTGTAGAGTTGTTTTTCAGGGGTTGGGCTTGGCCCTTTAGTTCCAGTGAAGGGAAATCTTAAGGCATCAGCATTCCAAGACATTTTGGATGATTTCATGCTCCCAACTTTGTGGCAACAGTTTAGAGATGGCCCGTTCGTGTTCCAACATGACTGTGCACCACTGTACAAAGCGAGGTCCACAAAGACATGGATGAGTGAGTTTGGGGTGGAGGAACTTGACTGGCCTGCACAAAACCTGACCTCAACCTGATAGAACAGCTTTAGGATAAACTAGAGTGGAGACTGCGAGCCAGGCCTTCTCATCCGACATCAGTGCCTGATCTCACAAATGCGCTTCCGGAAGAATAGTCAGACATTCCCATAGACACATTCCTAAACCTTGTGGACAACCTTCCCAGAAGAGTTGAAGCTGTTATAGCTTCAAAGGCTGGGTCAACTCAATATTGAACCCTGCGAACTAAGACTGGGATGCCATTAAAGTTCATGTGCGTGTAAAGGCAATACGTTTGGCAATATAGTGTGTATATTGTGGCAGTGCGGTATCCTGCCACGGTGGAAATCCCGGTGGTGACCCAGGATTTTCAACCATACAGGTTGAGGGGCTCCAGGCAGTTCTCATAATGCAGAGGAAACTGGTCTATCAGTTTCCTCTTTGGTTTGTAAAGCCTGTTTTGGGACCTGTAGCCTGGAGATTTCTAAGAAATTTTAGAGGGATGAAATCTCCAATCCTGGCAGGGGCGGACTGACCATTTGGAAACTCGGGCACTGCCCGAGGGCCCAGGGTCAGTAGGGGGCCCCATGAGATGCCCCTGGTACCTTTTTCATAGGCATTTTTGAGTTTGGGTAAGGACACAGGGGCCCCATGATCCCCTATTGCCCGGGGGCCCCATGAGTTGTCAGTCCGCCCCTGAATCCTGGGTCCATATTTTGAGAGCAGTCAACGAACTGATTACACAGGTCTGTGCAGACCTTTTTGTGGAGGCCAGGCCATGATTCTGGGCTCCACCCTGGCAGACAGGAGGTCTCTGCCTTGCAGTCAGGAGGGCTTCACCAAGGAGAGGTGGAAGCCAGAGTAGCTGTGTGCGGAAAAGCCATTTAGAAAGAGTCTGCAGGAGATGGACGTAAGCCTGAAGTGGAAGGCCAGAGGAAAATTGTGTGTACAAACCAGGAGGCTAAATATTTGTTTGTTGGTGGATACCCCTGCGTGGGAAGCTTTATGGAACTTTTTCTTTAAATAAAAGTGGGCTAAAAAGGCCTTAAAAAGAAAGCAAGTTGCTGTGTGCTTTAAAAAAGCTCTACCATTTGAAGTGAGTTCTCACAATACACACACACACACACACACACACTGATTAAAGGAACAAATTGAAGTATCAGGAGAAAACGAGCCCTAGATCTATGTGACAGGAGCAGCTGGCATGAAAGGTAATAACCTCAAAAACCTTCTGTAACACACAAATATCATACACCATGCAGCGCTTAAATAGATCAACAATGTCCTTTGATTGTTGATTAAAGGAACACTTTGAAAACACATCAGATCTCAATGGGGAAAAATTAACTTTTCACACACATACAGTCATTTCTCTCCAAGTCCAAGCAGCACCCGAATGTAAGTTTGGATATGTGTTTGTTTAAGAAATTACATATTTTTTTTTTTACTAATCCCTGCACTTTGGATACCTTGTTGTCTTCTATATGGCAGTGAGAATTCCTCCCAGATCTGATGTGCCAAGCAGCAAAATTGCATTAGAGCTCTCCATCCGTCTTTATTCCATATGAACAACTATTATGGCTGCTGAATACTTGTACCCACCATCCCGAGCCAGGACTTTGTTAGATCATCAACTCTGGAGATCCCACCAATAGGAATTGGGAATAAGTATTTTTAAATATTTATTTCACTGTTGTTCACGTACTAAGCTGTAAGCACTGAGAGACTTTTCTTTTTTTTTTTTTTTTAGGGTGGGAAACAGGGATGTGCAATTGTCTGTTTGTATGGCTTGGTTACATTACATTATTACATTACATTGAGTTTATATAGCACCAAAGGGTTTGCTCAGCGCTGTACAATAGAGGGGGGGACAATACATGAAACAATTACAGCAACTACGAACAGCACACGAGGGGTAAGAGGGCCCTACTCTTTCGAGCTTACAATCTAGGAGGGAGGGGGTAAGTGTACAGGAGGAAGTGGCTGTGGGGGATGGAGTGGTAGGAGGAATGAAGGAGAGCAGCAGTTAGGTGAGGGTGGGGTAGGCTTCCCTGAAGAGATGGGTTTTCAGGGAGCGCCTGAAGGTGAGGAGGGAAGGTGACAGTCTTGGTTGGGGTAGTGAGTTCCAGAGGATGGGGGAGGACATGGAGAAGTCTTGCAGTCGGTGCGTGGGAGGAGGAGACCAGGGAGCAAGATAGAAGGAGGGTCCTGTGAAGAGCGAAGGGTACGGGTAGGGTGGTACTTGGGAATCAGGTCGGTGAGGTAGTTAGGGGCAGTGTTGTGAATGGCTTTGTAGGTCAGAGTGAGTAGTTTGAATTTGATGCGTTGGGCGATAGGGAGCCAGTGGAGGGAGAGGCAGAGGGGGTGGCAGAGGTGGAGCGGGGTGGTGAGGTGGATGAGTCTAGCCGCTGAGTTGAGGATGGTCTGAAGCGGGGAGAGCCTGCACTGGGGTAGGCCGGTGAGGAGGGAGTTACAGTAGTCAAGGCGTGAGATAATCAGGGAGTGCACAAGTAGTTTTAGCGGTGTCTGGGGTAAGGAAGGAGCGTATTTTGGCGATATTGCGGAGGTGGAGCCTGCATGTGTTTGTCAGTGATTTTGCATGGGTTGGAAGGAGAGGTTAGAGTCCAGAATGGTTCACATATGTGCGGGTGGTGCCGCTGTGGATCCGCACGAAAATCCGTACCACCCGCACAGAGGAATGCAGTTCTAATGGCACACCGCCCGCACTGGGAAACGCAACCGTACTGGGAACCGAGGTTCCCGTGTGGGCTGCGTTTTCACAAGATGTGCAGGGACTTCTTCTCTGCGTGTCACGGGGCACGGGAGTCCATTCAAATGAATGGGCTCTCGTGCCCGCACAAAACGTGGCCCGCACGGCCGCATATATGTGAACCAGGGCTACTTGTTTGCAGTTTTGCCCGATTGCTAGAACTATGTCCTTTTCTATCCTATTCTTTTGCTGAGGAAAGGTAATTTTGTTTTTTGGCTGAAAAAAAGTGGACTTTGATTTCACATTACTGACACCTGTTTTACACCCCCAGAATTAATACATCACAGATTTAAACTTTGCAGGCTCTAAAATCCACAAAAACAGTGAAAGAAGAACTGGTTAAGCACTGAACAATATGCAAGGTAACAGCTGCACAATAGCAGGCCTTGGCACAGTCAGTCATAGTCACAACCCAACAAGAAGGTAACTGCTGGCTGAACAAATGGTGGTCCTACAGATTGCAGTCACCCAGCAAGCTGTAAGGCTCCAAGATGGTTCTGGTATGCTGGCTGATTCATGGAAGGCTGTGCAGCAGGCCCTATAATGAATTCATGCTGCAGACAGTGTTGAAATGGATCTGCTACTTTTTGAGCAGATTGTCACTAGAGAAGAACTGTCTGAAACAGACTGGGTGGATGTTCTGGTCCCTTTTCTAATTGCAGGTCCCCAGCAGGCAAACTTTGACTTTGCCCTGAAAACAACATGTGACTACAAGGTGTTGAAAGCTGAAATTTTGACCAGACTATTGGTGACTTTTCCCATGGAGGCATGCTGTCTCCAAGCCTGGAGCTTTGGCAAGGCTAAATCTTTCTGTGAACGGCTGTATATACACCTATTCCACCTACACCTATTTTATGGCTGGTTGCAAGCTGATGTGCTTAACCTCGCTAAGATTGTAGCGTGGGGTACCCCTGTGTGCAGTCTTCATAAGGAACTGTATTTTGCTGGGTGTGTCTAGTTCTTGCATGAGATGGCAACTGTGGTAGAACAATACAACTGCACAAAGGCCCTTTCATCAACAAAAGAACTGGAACAAGAAGGTGCACCCTGGTGCCAAAGCATTGGTGGATAATTGCAGTATCTCTGTCCAGGGGCATAATACTCCTTCCAAAAACATCCCATCACTTAAACCTCCAAAAAGCTGGCAGGTTGATAGAGAACCCCACAAGGTTTGTTGCTGGACCTGCCACTAACTGGGCCACCTGGCAGATGGATAGACGATGGAATGGAACTTTGGCCAAGAATGCTCCATGTTTTTCAGCATGCACTGCTAAAATTGTAAATCTGTATGAGTGTGTGGTGTGGGTTAGTGGACAGGATAAAAAATTGTAACTCATTGATAATATATACTGTGAGAATATCAATTTATAAACTGCATCACCAAAATAAATCAAATTATATTCACGCAATGTATCATCAAAAATAAAAAACATACATAAATAAAAAATATTTAAATGAATCCAATTGTGATAATTTTGCAATATAAATAACTAATTAAAAATAAATAAATTCATAAAGTCCAGTGTGCAAATTGTGCAAAAAAAATATAAAGTTCAGCAGAACGTTATATATTTTTTTGCACAATTTGCACACTAATTAATTAATTAGTTATTATATTGCAAAATTATTACAATTGGATTCATTTAAATATTTTTTATTTATATATGTTTTTTATTTTTGATGATACATTGTGTGAATCTAATTTGGTTTATTTTGGTGATGCAGTTTATAAGTTGATATTCTCACAGTATATATTATCAATGAGTTACAATTTTTTATGCATATTTTATTGGCACGGTAGTATT